TTAAAAAAATAGGTTCAATTTATTTTTTATTCATTTTTTAAATAGGCTAACAAAACAGCTTGATCATTTGAACAAAGCAATAGCGCAAGAAAAACTAACACAAGGCAAGCAAGCAATTCGCACGTTTTCATTTTTGCATATGAGGGGCTTTAAACCGGGGGTTGAAATCCGGACAGGTTGTTATAGCTACCCAATCCACAGGGGTCCCCCCACCCACCCTTAGACATCCTTATATATATAACACACAAAGCCTTGCATGTCCCAATAACTATTAAAACAGAGCGTGTCCCGAGCGTTTGCGGTTCAGGCTGACTGAGTGACTCTATCATCAGAATTTGGCCCGTGGCAAAAGCCTGTGATTGGGTCCAAACGCAGAGCTGTTCTCAACTTTAATATGTGCCTCATAACCGCGCGCAGGAGAACGCTGTAGGATTATCGGAGAGAAATATCGCTCTTCATCACCTCGCGTTTTCTCATTGACACACGCTGGCGAGTGTGCGTGCGTGCGTGTGTATGTGAGCGTATGTATGTATGTGTGTGTGTGTGTGTGTGTGTGTATGTGTGTGTGCGTGTCTGTTTAAGCCTAACTTTTTAAAGGATGATATATCTTGGATATTTCCTGTTTCTTTTTTGTGGGCTCACGCGTGTCATGGCAAGTTACCCGATATGGTGGTAAGTTTTATGACTTTTTTAACCTTTCCTTGTGAAAAAACAATGAGTTTGGTAGTCTAGAGCGCGTAAATGACAAGCTTTTCAACTTGACAATGATTTGGGGGACTGAAAATATCTTTGACGTCAGTTGTAACTTATACCGGTATTGATATGATGATCGGTGACGCTATCTATCTATCTATCTATCTATCTATCTATCTATCTATCGTGCACCTGTTAGTCGTTTGAAGTTCAATAAGTAAATTGCAGGATCAATTTTTATCAACAAAGACTTATAATCCTGTGTAAATCATGTTCAATTCATTAATTAAACGTTTCATTTATTCATTGAAGTTGTTAGTATAATTAGTTATTTTCATCTACCTAAAAGTTTAACAACTGCAAAAAAAAAAAAAATCTCTTTTGTCGCCGATAAATTTTATGACAGGCTGGCCGTCAAACCGGGCTGTTTTTAAATAAAACCCATGCGAGGAAATGCGATTTGTGTTACGTGTTATTTTGTAATAGATCAGTGCTGTTAATGTAGCACTTCAGTTTGTTAAATCTGCTCAATTTCGTTAATCAGAGATAAACTTTGTCGGAAATAATAAATAAGGCTTACAGCATATTCAGTTTTTGTATTATTATTTTTTTATGAACATTATTGTATGCTTTTGAACACTTAGTTGTGATCATTGTATTTTAAACAGGCCTGAAAATACTTCTTCTAATAATAATAAAGTAAAAGAGGAAACTGTGGCTGATGAGGTTGGAGAATGATTTTAAGCACATCTAATTGGCTGTTAAAAGTATGCAGAATTACAATATCATTTGAGACTGAACAAATTCACGGGAACTTTCAATGCATTTTATTACAAACATTCTCTTAAAATAACTTCATGCTTGTACGAAAAAGTACAGTTCATAACTGACACATAGCAAACGTTCGAGGTGTTCTCTAGGACTCCACCGATTTCACTCACACACCTAAAGATCATTGTTTCAGGGAGGCAAGACAATAAAGCAGAGTTTTCTCAGTGGTTGTAAAAGCTGTAATTGAGTAGGTCATTAGTCACAGTCCAGGCTGCTCTTTTTTGTTAATTGTTGTCTGTCTGACCCTCTTGAGATTTTAAAAGCTGTGCTTTCCTTCTCATTCACAATGCCAGTTCACAGGACAGCATCCAGAAACTTCTGTTGCTTATTATGGGCAGCCAACCCTTGTGGAAAAAGATGTGTGCTTGATTGTATTGAATGTGCACTTGTTATGTACTTCAAATCTTATAAGTATATTTTTAGAAAACTGTACTTGCAGATAATATTAATGAAATAAAAGCCCACTCTGTAAGTACACTTTCTTGACTGTTTCGTAAGTACACTTTTAAAAAAGTGCAATGAAAAGTTTTACTTTTTATGGACATTTTAACTTTTCATAATGTTTTGAATAATCTTTTGAAGAACAGCACTTATTTTTAAGTGCTGACTAACATACTAAAGTACACGTAAAGCATTTGCTTATCATTTTAACTGTAGTGCCGTTGTTAAAAAATAGTTCTTTGATGCATTTAAAGTTAATATATTTGTACTAAATTACAGCTTTATCATAATGAGTGTGTAATTACAAATACATTTAAATACATGACATACAAGTTTCAACAGAAATGGCATTAAAGTATATTTCAGTTCACCATAAATAGCACTTTAACCATATTTCAAAGACAATAAAAGTAATTATGAAATTACATATAAAGAACTTAATTGGGTCAAAACACTCTTAAATTCAACTAATTGCATTTAATATAAATGTAACCTTTAATACTTAATCATTTAATTGTAAATAGCATGCACTTAGGTTTCTGAAAACAATGCATTGTGTTCGCAATTAAATATGTTCCTTTAAAGTATATTATTTTCATAATAAGCACTCTTTTTTAAAAGTAATGCTAAAGTGTTCTTCTGTTTCACAAGGGGTGTGATACACAAGTGCATGTTCCGTCAAGGTATAAAACTGTCTAATAATCAACACAAAAAGCTACAAAAACACTGAGGTATACAGCTAACCATCAATACAGCTAGAATGTGCATTGCTTCTGGAGTCACGTTTTTTTTTTCAAGTTCAGCTTCATGGTAAAATGTGAGAAGTTAGAAGTATCAGAAAGTGTCAAGTTTGACCTAGATCAGTCTATACTATATATAGTTAATGAGAAATTTACTGCCTCGCTTTGTGTGAAAAGACCCAAATGTGCCAATTTCTCTTGGTTAAAGCAATCAGCTTCTGACAGAGGTGTAAGTGAAGTCATTGAAGTTTCTTCGATTCAGTTTTTAGGCAGAGAGAGTTATGTGATATGATAACCTGCGGTGATTTACCGCAGGACTGCTAATGTCCATGCAGAGGAGACCTGGACAGCACAGGTGTATACTGCTGGATAACACCGAACCTAGTGTTATGTTTTGCTTTGTATCATTGTGAAGGAGGTTTGTGATGTGGGCCAGGTATAGAGACCAGGTTCATGGCTTCCTGCGCCTCCTCATGACATGCACCTCCACCCCCGCGCTCCACCTTAAAAGATAAATACCTGGAGGTGAAAGCTTGCCGCACATTCCTTCTCCCAAACACTTCTCTCTTGATGTCAAAGTCGGCTCTGTGGCCCCGGGGCCTACAAGTAAAGTGGTAATTCAGAGGTGCACTTGCTTGGGCTTGCTGAAATATGCATTAAAACCTAGACTGGATACACACACAGCAAATATATCTAAGACTCCACAGGGAATGTTCATTTCTGTCCTATTGTCTTTGAATTACCTGGCTTTAGGGGATTTTGGGGGGAGGTAAAGACGGTACTGTTCTGCCAGGGTGGAGGTGGGATATCAGTTGGTCATCCTTTCGTTTGGGATATCGCTAAAATATGACCGAGCTTGGTTCAAAGTATTGAGAGTTGCACACAACTGATGCAAATTAGGACAACCCTATAAATGCTTGATTGTATCTCCCGATAATTGTTTGAAGAAATTATCCAATCTCAGTGCAGTCATACAAAATCAATGAATTCGTTTTGGCCCAATGTGCTTTTATTTTTATTTGTTGAGTTCTCTGCTCTTACTAAATGATGGTGATCTCAATATCATGAGCTGCAACAGATGACGGGGCAGACACACACCCAAGTCAGCTGAGCATGAGGACATGTCACTGAAACACCTGTTCACCTCACTCAGCGGTGGTGACGTCTCAAATTCATCAGCTTCTGGCAAAGTACAATACCAAAGTATGAGGTGGTGATTCTAGCCGTCAGCAGAGCCTATTAATTATCACTTTAGTCTTGACTGCAGTATACCTGAGGGCTGTCCACGCTTGACGGCATCTTTACCCACAAACCGTTTGCCAGCTAAAAAAGTGAAACGGTAGAAACAATAGTTCTAGCTGTAAATCTAATGGATGAGCCACAGTTGAAGCTGTCATAAAATAGCCAATGTGACCGCATAAATTAATTCTATATTAATGCATGCAAACCTACATTACTTGCAGTCGCTTTTCCGTGGCTTAATCAAGGCTTACCTGTATGAAATAAGTGTAACGCAGCCTCTCTTAGCTTTTTGGGTGAATAATGAAACCTCTCAATGCCATTAAAAAATAACGAATATGAATCTCATTTACAGCTCAATTGAAACTGTAAATCTCTTTCTGATTATGGTGAAAAAACAATGTGCTTATAATGATTAGTTCTTATTTAATTAAGTAAAACATCAATGCATTGCAATGTAGTTATTTTTCTATTACAGTAACGAAGATGTAGAATCACTAGAGAATCATTATTGAGAATAATGTTAATTATAATGGTAATGGTAAAACATTTTTTTGGGTTAAATGCAACCTGGGCATAATTTTGTGCAACTTATCCTATTGATTCATTTGAGGATGCTGCTTGTGTTCAACATAAAAATGAGTTCAAATATAAAACTACTGGACTGTTTTAGCGCCTACCACACAACTAAATATTAATTGCACTTAATCGTACTGTAATTGAGATAATGGAACAGATCAAGTTATACTGAGTGAATTTGACTAATTTTGACGATATGCAAATAACCACATAGTTCAAAGATTAGCCAGCCTACATTCAATTATATATAATCGATTTACTCTGTGAGGTCTGTTTTCAAAAACATGCTGAGATATATCACATTGAATGTATAACATTCTATAAGTCATCAAAATAAATTGCAAGAGTTTTATAACTAAATTAAACAAATTTAATCCCCATGTGTAATTAGTATTAGTAAAATACTTATGCAAAAATTAATTTAATCCATTTCCATTTTTCCAAACTTAGGTAAAATTTCCACCCATTTTTGAGTACAAATGCACTGTGTTTGCATTTATTTGTGCATTAAATTACAGATAAATATGAAATGTGTGCCTCATATTGTGATCTCAGAAGTATATTTAGCCCAAGGACATGTTGCATTCATAGTTTTGACACTGCCTTAATCAACTCCACATTTAATCAATGTTCATCTACTGAAGCTCCCTCGGCATCCATGCTTTTTCCACACTTGTTTGACTTGCGCTCGGCATTGAGGTGAAGTTGGTTTGCGCACCTGAAAAGTCTCCCGTGTGCTGTGGTCATAAAGAGTTGGTGCAAGCTCTAAATAAACTCAATTCTTGTCAAGAAAAAAAAAAAGAGACAGAAATGGCAACTGACCGATATTTTAATCTCAATTCAAGCGTCGGTCCATGCCCCCTCCAGTTCGGCCCTTGGGTAGCACTGAGGGTTGGTTGTGTATTTATATGCATGTAAAAGAAATGCATGCATCAGCGTGAGACAGACGGG